TACTAAATGCTGTAAAGAGTTTTTATGAGGATAGTGAGGCTCAGGTTAGGGTGTGTAGAAGAGAGTGAGATTATTTCCCAGTAAAAGTAGGTCTTAGACAGGGATGTGTAATGTCACCATGGTTGTTTAATATATTTATAGATAGGGTTGTAAAAGAAGTAAATGCTAGGGTGTTCGGGAGAGGGGTGGGATTAAATTATGGGGAATCAAACACAAAATGGGAATTGACACAGTTACTTTTTGCTGATGATACTGTGTTTATGGGAGATTCTAAAGAAAAATTGCAAAGGTTAGTGGACGAGTTTGGGAGTGTGTGTAAAGGTAGAAAGTTGAAAGTGAACATAGAAAAGAGTAAGGTGATGAGGGTATCAAATGATTTAGATAAAGAAAAACTGGATATCAAATTGAAGAGGAGGAGTATGGAAGAAGTGAATGTTTTCAGATATTTGGGAGTTGATGTGTCAGTGGATGGATTTATGAAGGATGGGGTTAATCATAGAACTGATGAAGGAAAAAAGGTGAGTGATGCATTAAGGTATATGTGGAGACAAAAAAAAAATGTTATCTATGGAGGCAAAGAAGGGAATGTATGAAAATATAGTAGTATTACCACTCTTATATCGGTGTGAAGCTTGTGTTGTAAATGCTGCAGCGAGGAGACGGTTGGAGGCAGTGGAGATGTCCTGTCTAAGGGCAATGTGTGCTGTAAATATTATGCAGAAAATTCGGAGTGTGGAAATTAGGAGGTGTGGAGTTAATTAAAGTATTAGTCAGAGGGCTGAAGAGGGGTTGTTGAGGTGGTTTGGTCATTTAGAGAGACTAGATCAAAGTAGAATGACATGGAGAGCGTATAAATCTGTAGGGCAAGGAAGGCGGGGTAGGGGTCGTCCTCGAGAAGGTTGTAGGGAGGGGGTAAAGGAGGTTTTGTGGGCGAGGGGTTTGGACTTCCAGCAAGCGTGCGTGAGCGTGTTAGGAGTGAATGGAGACGAATGGTATTTGGGACCTGACGAGCTGTTGAGTGTGAGCAGGGTAATATTTAGTGAAGGGATTCAGGGAAACCGGTTATTTTATATAGCCAGACTTGAGTCCTGGAAATGGGAAGTACAATGCACTCTAAAGGAAGGGTTTGTAATATTGGCAGTTTGGAGGGATATGTTGTGTATCTTTATACGTATATACTTCTAAGCTGTTGTGTTCTGAGCACCTCTGCAAAGACAGTGATTATGTGTGAGTTAGGTGAAAGTGTTGAATGATGATGAAAGTATTTTCTTTTGGGGGATTTTCTTTGTTTTTGGGTCACCCTGCCTCGGTGGGAGAGCCGACTTGTTAAAAAAAATTATATATATATAATATATATATATATATATATATATATATATATATATATATATATATATATAATATATATATATATATATATATATATGTCGTGCCGAATATGTAAAACTGGTCAATTAGCAAGAACTCATTTAAAATTAAGTCCTTTCTGAAATTTTCTCTTATACCTTTAAAGATATATTTTTTTTCATTAATGTTGATGTAAAAATTTATAATTTTGCACCAAAAGAATCTTAGAAAACTTACCTAACCTTATTATAACAAGAACAATTTATTTTAGCCTAACCCAACTAAATATATTTTAGATTTGTTTACAATAATTTAATGCTAAACAAACACAGTGAAATATATTTTTTTCGTTAGGTTCAGAATGATTTTGGCGAAATTATTGCATATCCGACATATCCGACATATCCTCATATCCGACATAGACAAGGATGTCAGCCACAGCACCGTGTCTTCCTTTGCAGATGACACCCGAATCTGCATGACAGTGTCTTCCATTGCAGACACTGCAAGGCTCCAGGCGGACATCAACCAAATCTTTCAGTGGGCTGCAGAAAACAATATGAAGTTCAACGATGAGAAATTTCAATTACTCAGATATGGTAAACATGAGGAAATTAAATCTTCATCAGAGTACAAAACAAATTCTGGCCACAAAATAGAGCGAAACACCAACGTCAAAGACCTGGGAGTGATCATGTCAGAGGATCTCACCTTCAAGGACCATAACATTGTATCAATCGCATCTGCTAGAAAAATGACAGGATGGATAATGAGAACCTTCAAAACTAGGGAGGCCAAGCCCATGATGACACTCTTCAGGTCACTTGTTCTATCTAGGCTGGAATATTGCTGCACTCTAACAGCACCTTTCAAGGCAGGTGAAATTGCCGACCTAGAAAATGTACAGAGAACTTTCACGGCGCGCATAACGGAGATAAAACACCTCAATTACTGGGAGCGCTTGAGGTTTCTAAACCTGTATTCCCTGGAACGCAGGAGGGAGAGATACATGATTATATACACCTGGAAAATCCTAGAGGGACTAGTACCGAACTTGCACACGAAAATCACTCACTACGAAAGCAAAAGACTTGGCAGACGATGCACCATCCCCCCAATGAAAAGCAGGGGTGTCACTAGCACGTTAAGAGACCATACAATAAGTGTCAGGGGCCCGAGACTGTTCAACTGCCTCCCAGCACACATAAGGGGGATTACCAACAGACCCCTGGCAGTCTTCAAGCTGGCACTGGACAAGCACCTAAAGTCAGTTCCTGATCAGCCGGGCTGTGGCTCGTACGTTGGTTTGCGTGCAGCCAGCAGCAACAGCCTGGTTGATCAGGCGCTGATCCACCAGGAGGCCTGGTCACAGACCGGGCCGCGGGGGCGTTGACCCCCGAAACTCTCTCCAGGTAAACTCCAGGTACACAAATTTTCGCTTGTCCTATATGGCAAGATGAACGTTGCTATTTAAGCCAAGATGGCAAGTTCTGCCTATTCGGCACGACATATATATATATATATATATATATATATATATATATATATATATATATATATATGCATGCAAAACAACCACTCTGAAAGAAAAGAGAAATTCCAAGCGCTTTCGTGACTACTCACATTATCAAGAACTATGAAAGTAAAGCATCCAAGGAAGCTATATAAGGGGTCTGGCCAACACCTCACTATCAGATCCCATATATATATATATATAATATATATATATATATATATATATATATATATATATATATATATATATATATATATATATATATATATAGTGTATATTTATATATATATATATATATATATATATATATATATATATATATATATATATATATATATATATATCCCGGATATATATATATATATATATATATATATATATATATATATATATATATATATATATATATATATATATATATATATATATATATATATATATATATATATATATATGTCGTGCCGAATAGGCAGAACTTGCCATCTTGGCTTAAATAGCAACGTTCATCTTGCCATATAGGACAAGTGAAAATTTGTGTATGCAATAATTTCGCCAAAATCATTCTGAACCTAACGAAAAAAATATATTTCACTGTGTTTGTTTAGTATTAAATTATTTTAAACAAATATAAAATATATTTAGTTGGGTTAGGCTAAAATAAATTGCGCTTGTTATAATAAGGTTAGGTAAGTTTTCTAAGTTCCTTTTGGTGCAAAATTATAAATTTTTACATCAACATTAATGAAAAAAATATATCTTTAAACGTATAAGAGAAAATTTTAGAATGGACTTAATTTTAAATATATATATGCTTTGATTGCGTTTTGTACCATATTTCATATTTTTTTTTATTTTAGTTTTCCAAAGATTTGTTGATTTTTTTCTTGTTTAACATAATAATACTGAAGACTGCGGGGAAATTTCATTCAAATCTTCAAGATATTGCAGTAAGGTCATGTGCTTTATTCCTAGATATTTCTTTCACCTTATGTGTATTAACAAAGTTTGAAGTACATGTAGTGGAAGTACACAGAAGTCAACTTGGTTTTGAATATAAGTGTTAAAAACAGAAGTGAAGGCGAGTACAACTAAAACAACTTAACCTTCTTTATCTGCATGCTCTCCGAGGGAATATTGATGAAAACAATCGTCAATCATCTCTTAGAGAATATTATATTCCAAACATTTTAAAAAAATGCAGATTTATGTAACAGTCTTGCCTATGTTTCTTGAAATAGTTATGAATTGCACTGACCAAGTGTTTTTATTTGATGTGTAGTAACCCTGCATAGTATTTCTAATGGATCTGTACAACTCCTACATAGTTTGTTGTACAGTAAGTCTACAAAGTCTTCTCGAAGGAAATCATTAAACTGTCACATGGATGACTAGCTCGGATAAAATGGAGTAAACAAAACAGTCGTTGAAAGAGGCGAAAGAGTAGTCCTAAATCAGATAGAATTTGACTGGAATGTCATTTTGTATGGAATGTAACAATTACTCATTGGAAAATAATTGTCTGAACAACTTGTGTTAACATTTCTCAGCGCATCAGACTTGTGGATAAAACTAAGATTTACGAAAGATATAAGCAGTGAATTGTATGGATTAGGATGCAAAGAAGTGGAAAATATTTAATGTTGATGTTCTAGGATAGTGTTCTTCAAAGTAAAGGTCACTGCCCAGTACTGGGTCACGAGATGCATATCGCTGGGTCACAAGGTCACTGTAAAGTTTTTGTCAATATTTCAGCCAGTTAAATAGCATGTATTAGTACCTTAGTAAGCATCATATTATTTACAGTCACCATTTTATACAGTAATACTTGCACAAAGTGCTATTTAAGTACTTTGATTGTTAAGTATTTACGGACAGACGGTGCTTTAAATTAAAAAAAAAATATGCATCTCAAAGAGAGTACCCACGAGTTGCTCCAACTTTGTGTTGGGACCAAACATAGGGGTAGAGTGAAGGTATGTGATATTGTTGGAATGGGTCATGGGGAATTTTTTTTTAAACATGTCATTCTACGAAGTGATATGAATATAGAAGATACTGGAAAGTGTTGAACAAATATTTTGAAATTCTGAAGTATGTAGAGCAGCCAAAGGGAGGTATTTTGTTTATATGTCGATAGAATGTGACGGAATTGGATGTGAGCGACAACGGCATCAGCAGTCTGGATGTGTCATGCCTGGCAGCACTAACCTCCCTCACGTGCTCCAATAACGCCATTACCGCCATCACCCTCCACGCTGCCGCCCTCACCTCCCTCACTGCCACCAACAACCGTGAGTACTGCACCACTCAAACCCTCTTTCCTTCCCCCACCTTACTGTCACCCTGAGTATCATGCCATACCCAGAGATGGTAGGTTAGGTTCGGTAAGGTTCGTCAGCAAACAGGACAGGTGTTTTCTTTCTGACGCAGGTCTTAGATGATGACCCACTGTTGCAGCTTTTGATCATCTGACCGAGGCCTTCCGCTGGCTTACCGGTCCACCCCTTTAAAAGTTATGGTTAGAGTTATAAGCATTTAGTGAGAGAGAGATGGTAATTCACACGTAGTAGTAACTCTAACCCATCTGAAACAAATCTTTAATGTTCCCGTTGCTATACAGCCCATAGTAGAATACATGAAGACTTACTCCACTTATGTTGCATTCTATATTAAATATTTAGTTTGCATTGAGGTAGAGGGGGCTGGGTATATGGAATACAGGGACACTTCTCTTGGTCTATGCGGAGAGCAAAACACTTCTAGTTGCACAAGAGCTTCTCATCATTCCATTACTGTTATCTTCCAGTGACTACTGTATTTAATCTATGATTTCCCCTTGATTAATCTTCTGTCTTTCAGTGTATTATTGCAATCTTGTTCATATGTGTTCACATAATATAAATAAAAAAAACACAATTCTTGCGGAGCCCGGTTGGTGACAGACCCATGAGTATAAATATTATTACCTCTCATGAAACTTCACTTTTTATTTCAGGCATACACTGTATTTTGCCTTGTATTACTCCTATGTTTTTTAGTTTTCGTATTAGTCTTTCACAAGGAATTGCACGGAATCTAAGTAATGAAATCTGCCCACCTATTTCTTTATTTGAATATTGGAATTTCAGCTTAATCCATAAATGCAAATTATGTGACCAGGCATATGATCACTGTCTTGAACACTATGTGCTTAATTGTCCACTAATTGAGGAACACAGAGACAGACAGTATAATAACCTATGTGACATATCAATATATCTTATTAATGAAAATAAGATACCAGATATACTAAGCAAATTTTATAAATTTGGTTGTAACACATAAGTGAACTGTAGATATGTAGATATAAATCCATATGTACAACTGTTAACCCTTTTGGGGCCTAGTTCCTAGGCCTTTTGTGTATCTATATGCTCTTGCACTACTGTCCACAGGATGGATATGGGGTGCACAATAAACTAGCCACTTCGATGGCAAAATCTAATCTAGCTTGATCCGTGTATGTGTATGCACGGTTGTATATATATATATATATATATATATATATATATATATATATATATATATATATATATATATATATATATATATATATATTGTCTTTAAATAAAATATATATAAAATATAGGGGGTGGTAGGAGAAAATTCTCAAACATCTTCAGGGAGAACCATGAGTTTTCCTTGAAGCAAGTTTATTCTTTTCTCTGAGGATGAGGGTCCCTATAACAGTTCTAGAGGTGGTACCTCCCTATATTATATATATATATATATATATATATATATATATATATATATATATATATATATATATATATATATATATAGTGTAGGACAAGCCACGGGGGTGGAAATCTTTAGTTCAAGTAAAGTACTTTCACACTTCTAAGTGCGTCATCAGGAGCTGTGAAATGTTGCAAGGGAGCAACCAAAGCAGGGAGAGAGGTCTCAGAGTAGCTCTCCCTGCTTTGGTTGCTCCCTTGCAACATTGCACAGCTCCTGATGATGGACTGAGAAGTGTGAAAGTACTTGAGCTAAAGATTTCCACCTCCCATGGCTTGTCCTGCATAGTTAAGATTGCCCGTCTGCGATTGTTTGCATGTGTGTGTTGTGCCAAATAGGTAAAATTGGTCAATTAGCAAGAACTCATTTAAAATTAAGTCCTTTCTAAAATTTTCTCTTATACTTTTTAAAGACATATTTTTTCATTTATGTTATTGTAAACATTAATAATTTTGTACCAAAAGAACCTTAGCAAACTTACTAACCTTATTATAAGAAGTGCAGTTTAATTTAGCCTAATCCAGTTAAATGTATTTTAGATAAGTTTACAATAATTTAATAATAAATAAACAATGAAATATATATTTTTTCGTTAGGCTCAGAATGATTTTTGCGAAATTATTGCATACACAAATTTTCGCTTTCCTTGTTCGGCAAGAAGAGCGTCGCTATTTAAGCCAAACAAGCAAGTTTTATCTATTCGGTACGATATGTAAGTATATATAAACCGAAGATAAGTCGTAATGTACGCTTATCAATTAATAAAGAGAAGAATAGACGGCGACTTGAACCGTGGTCCATGTGTAGCAGGCCGAGCCCTGCAACTACTCGGCTTACAAATATGCCTGATCCCACAGCACCAGAAGTTTTCGAGGTACATCTCTTCTCATACCCGTCAAAGACGTATAGTCTGTGGCTGAGTAGTTCAGTTAAACGTTGGACATACTACATGGTGAACTACGGCTCAAGTCCCCACCAGTTCTTGTTTATTCATTGACAATCGTTCGTAACGACTTATCTTGGGTTTATACACTATATAACTTGGAAGAGTAGAATAGATGTACTACGAAAGTTCCTGGGTCTTGGTGACGAGACAGTAGGGTCAGTGCCGCTGATGCAACCGTCACTCAAGTGCTGCCCGTAAAATCATTCTGTTTGTAAGCTCTGTATTTATGTGGCTGAGTAATTACAATGTTGTGTCTGCTAGTACTTTTTGGTATGTTGCAGGTCTTACCAGGCTGGAGGTGCGCTACCATCCACGACGACTGACCAGACTTAACTTGGCCAGGTAAGCCACACTCTGCCACCAGGAATGTATACTATGTTAGTCTGGGACACTTAATACGTAGGTCAAAATACAGATTTCTCCAGATGTACTATAAATTCTTAAGCTGTTCACGGCAGCTCAACTAGTCAGTAGAGAATTTTGCTAAGGGAATTTGAAGCATTCTGATTGACTTATGGCCGTTAAATGTTTGCAAACCATTCCTTTTCTGCCTACCCTATTTTTTTGCCTTAACGGCCCACTAAGGAATGATGACTTTTTGAATGCATTTTATGTTTAATAAATTTCACAATGACCTTTCTTATACGTTTAATTTAGTAAAAGAATAATTACTGTTGGTTGCAACCACGCTCATTAAATATTGGGAAAAATATTTCTTAGGTACGTGCTGCTTGTGTTTTAAATATCAGTTGCTGTCATGGTGAAAGCCCCAGAATCTTCCCCTATCTTTTCTTTCAGTGTGTGTTTAATTAAATTATTTTTTCCTAATATTATACCAATTATATCAATATTAAATGTTAATTTATTAAGAAAAATGATAGGCAGGAAGCCTTAATATACAAACGATCATCTCTGACGTATTATGTACAAACCTTGTTAAGCGATCAAGAAGACGTTGAGAGTTTCATGAACCAGCAGCAGGAGCTCTCTCAAAATAATTCTTCATTAACTCAACAGTGATAAAATGACGAGAGACAACATATTCAGACTTCTGAAAGACAAATCTGCACACAGAAATCACTCCTCACTAAAGCAAAAGGTGCGACAGATGGTCCAGTATATTCCCCCAAGGAAAGTAGGGGTGCCGTGAATACAGACAAAATAAATGTCAAAGGCCTACGTGTTAACAACCTCCCATCATACATAACAGGGATGACCAATAGACCCGCAGCTATCTTCTAGAATCTAGAGGGAATTGGGTGGGTTCCAGCAGTCAGTTCTTGACCAACCGAGCTTGTCAGGAACTGACTGCGACCAACAGTAACAGCCTGGCTAATCAGGCCCTGAGCCATCGAGAGGCCAGGTCAGAGACCGGGCCGCGGGGGCACTGACTCCCACAACACCCTCCAAGTAAGCTTTTGATACAGTACTAAACAAGAGGCAAATTGTAAAAAAGTAGTCTTGGATATACAAGATGTTACTCCACTGGATAAAATAGTGACTGACAAATAGATGATAAATTGTCATACTGTCGTGACAGATATGTCAAGACGGGATTAAAAATCAAATAAGATTTTCCAAAGAACCATATTATTCCTGACCTTTGTAAACATATCTGGAAAGATCTATCATTTTTTAAAGTTAATTAAACGAAAATTGTGAGAGAATGGTAAATGGAAGATTTCAGAAAGCTGCAGGAAGAGTCAGTGATATGACTACTTAAGTTAAACCTAATAAATCCAAGTAGAAAAAGAGAAAGAATACTCGGTAGTACCAGATCGATTATCTAAACAAGAAACGGCTACTTGTAAGTAAAAAAAAAGGAGTATGTGTACTCACCTATTTGTGGTTCCAGGGGTCGATTCATAGCTCCTGGCCCCGCTAGGTGTGTGTGTGTACTCACCTATATGTGGTTGCAGGGGTCGATTCAGCTGTGTGTGGGGGGGGGACAGCTGTACTCACCAATGTATGTTTGTGTTTACCTGGAGATTACCTGGAGAGAGTTTCGGGGGTCAACGCCCCCGCGGCCCGGTCTGTGACCAGGCCTCCTGGTGGATCAGCGCCTGATCAACCAGGCTGTTGCTGCTGGCTGCACGCAAACCAACGTACGAGCCACAGCCCGGCTGATCAGGAACTGACTTTAGGTGCTTGTCCAGTGCCAGCTTGAAGACTGCCAGGGGTCTGTTGGTAATCCCCCTTGTGTGTGTTTATGTTTGTGAGAATGAGTTTATACTTTTTGTGTTTGCCCGTGGCTGGGTTGGCAACGCTCTCGCCACACACAATGAGTGTCCGTGGTTCGATCCCCAGCAAGGATGGAAACGTTGGGCGTTTCCTTACACCTGCTGTCCCTGTTCACCTAGCAGTAAGTAGGTACTTGAGTATTAGCCAACTGGTGTGGGTCGCATCCTGGGGGACAAGACTTAAGGACCCCAATGAAAATAGTCATCGATGACGCACCGACTTTCTTGGGTTATCTTGGGTGGTTAACCTTCCGGGTTAAAAAACATATTTAATGTGCATGTGGATTTTCATATAGGTAATTATTATTAGTCATACAAGCTGAAGAGGCAAAATATTTGTTGCTATGATGTATGTTTGAACTATACTGTATGTTTATTTTCTTTCTGCAGGAATGAATTAAGTGCTGTACCACCCTGGTTAGTGTCAAGCACTGAAGTAACACTAGTAGACGTGAGTCACAACCAGGTGACCTGCCTCCCAGCCTTCCTTACTTCAGGTCACCTCCGCCGCCTCCACACACTCTCAGCCCACCACAACCGCCTCACAGCTTTTCCCGTACCACAGAGGGGCACCATTGACCTTCACAAGGACTCAAGCTGTTCTTATATCTCTCGGAATCCAGTACAAGGCCCTCACAGATCCTCTCATCTTTCTTCTAACTACAACTCAGTCCACAACTTGCAGGAGGAGCCACGACTGTCTTCACTTGAGGTTCTCTTCCTCCACCACAACAGACTGACAGCTCTACCATCTAACCTCTTCTCATGGCTCAACAAGTACGGTACAATTCATTGTTGATTCAGTATCATTTAACTAAAAAGAACTTTTTTTGGTGAGAATCCTTTCATGCGCAGGTATATAATTATTAGTCATGGGGACATGCTACTAGTAGGGGTTATACAGTGCTTGGGGAATGGGAGCTACCCTCATGAGATTCCTTGATACCGGTGATGGGCTCTTGATTCAAGGAATTGTACCTGTCATCCCCTTCCTTGGATTGAACCTAAATGCTTTCCATCATTCTCTCTCGCGCAGTATTACCAATTATGGTTTAGCACTTCCCCTGAACTTAATATTCCAAGCATTAACGATCGTGTTACTGAAAGAAATACCTTCGTTGGGGTCAATAAGCTTAGGTTAGCCCATTCAAACCCCTGCACAGAAGCCCTCCAAACTTTCCTCAGCACTGGTAAACATTCTTCCAGATGGATCGAAAAAACTGGAACCGACCTCCGCATGAACCAGCTACATGATCTATGTCAAGTTAGGCAACAGAGGCACTTCCCTGCTCCGGGGGATATTACCCCATTCCAAACTACCATTCCTCCATTCCCCCCAAAACTCTTATTAAATCACAACCAAAGCTTCATCTTGAAGCCAAACAGGATGCCATAAGCTGTATTGATAACTTAGTCACACAGAACACTCTTTCACAAATTATTTACGTTGATGGTTCTGTTCACCAATCCACTGGTGCAGCTGGTAGTGCTGCTGTTGTCATACAGAGTGATGGCTCTCATAAAGAAATTGGAGCACGCATCAATAACTGGGCCTCTACCCTTCAAACAGAACTGTTTGCCATACTCTTTGCACTCAAATGCGTCCATGTATCTAAGGTTGACACTTTAATTGTGACTGATTCTCTGTCATCCATAAATGCTCTCAACTCATTAAGTATAAAATTGTGGTATGCTTGTGTCAGGAGCCAGACATAGGTATGGTAAGATTGTGGACAGTGGAGTCAGAGTGCACATGATGTGGATTCCATCTCATATTGGTCTTCAGATGCATGATAGAACTGATGAATTGGCTAAGATGTATGCTTTCAAAGAGGGAGTAGGTTACAGTCTAGGGTTGTCAGTTAGCAGTTTGAGAACAATTATACAAAAAGAACTTCAATTGAACTTTATTGACTTAAAACTTAGGGAGATTGACACAAGTCAGTCCATCTATTATCATTCCATCATGCAGAAGGAGCCACATGTCTATGGTGCATCCAACAAGATAAGCAGACTTTTGGATATCACTACTGCAAGATACCAGATGTACTTAGCAAATTTCCTAAATTTGCTTATAACAGATAAGTGAACTATAGATATGTAGATATAAATCAATATGTATTCCTGTTAACCCTTTGGGGCCTAGTTCCTAGGCCTTTTGTGTATCCATATGCTCTTGCACTACCGTCCACAGGATGGATATGGGGTGCACAATAAACTAGCCACTTCGGTGGCAAAATCTAATCTACTGTCCGGCTGGGTTACAAGTATCTTTGGCAAGTCAAATCACCACCACCAGATGTAGACCAAACGAAATGTAAACTTTGCCAGATAGACTATTGTCACACCCTACGTCAGAAATGTACAAGAAATGGCGAAGTATTTTATCCACAGCGGTATATTACAGACCATTCTGGAGAAATACCCTGACTTTGCTAGCTGTAAATAAAGCATTACCACGTACTCACCTAATTGTACTCACCTAATTGTGGCTGCAGGGGTCGAGACTCAGCTCCTGGCCCCGCCTCTTCACTGATCGCTACTAGGTCCTCTCTCTCTCTCTGCTTCCTGAGCTTTATCATACCTCTTCTTAAAACTATGTATGGTTCCTGCCTCCACTACTTCACTTGCTAGGCTATTCCACTTCCTGACAACTCTATGACTGAAGAAATACTTCCTAACGTCCCTGTGACTCGTCTGAGGCTTCAGCTTCCAGTTGTGACCCATTGTTTCTGTGTCCCCTCTCTGGAACATCCTATCTCTGTCCACCTTGTCTATTCCCCACAGTATCTTGTATGTCGTTATCATGTCTCCCCTGACCCTTCTGTCCTCCAGTGTCGTCAGTCCGATTTCCCTCAACCTTTCCTCGTACGACATTCCCATGAGCTCTGGGACTAGCCTTGTTGCAAACCTTTGTACTTTCTCTAACTTCTTGACGTGCTTGACCAGGTGTGGGTTCCAGACTGGTGCTGCATACTCCAGTATGGGCCTAACATACACAGTGTACAGTGTCTTGAACGATTCCTTATTAAGGTATCGGAACGCTATTCTCAGGTTTGCCAGGCGCCCGTATGCTGCAGCAGTTATTTGGTGGATGTGTGCCTCCGGTGATGTGCTCGGTGTTATGGTCACCCCAAGGTCTTTCTCCCTGAGTGAGGTCTGTAGTCTTTGTCCACCTAGCCTATACTCTGTCTGCGGTCTTCTTTGCCCCTCCCCAATCTTCGTGACTTTGCATTTGGCAGGGTTGAATTCGAGAAGCCAGTTTCTGGATCACATGTCCAGCCTGTGTGTGTGTGTGTACTCACCTATTTGTACTCACCTATTTGTGGTTGCAGGGGTCGAGTCTTAGCTCCTGGCCCTGCCTCTTCACCGGTTGCTACTGGGCCCTCTCTCTTTCTGCTCCATGAGCTTTATCAAACCTCGTCTTAAAACTGTGTATGGTTCCTGCCTCTACTACGTCATTTTCTAGGCTATTCCACTGCCTGACAACTCTATGACTGAAGAAATACTTCCTGATATCTCTCTGACTCATTTGTGTCTTCAACTTCCAATTGTGGCCTCTTGTTTCTGTGTCCCCTCCCTGGAACATCCTGTCTTTGTCCACCTTGTCTATTCTATGCAGTATTTTATATGTCGTTATCATGTCTCCCCTGACCCTCCTGTCCTCCAGTGTCGTCAGGCCGATTTCCCTTAATCTTTCTTCATAGAACATTCCCCTTAGCTCTGGAACTAACCTTGTCGCAAACCTTTGTACTTTCTCTAGTTTCTTGACGTGCTTTATCAAGTGCGGGTTCCAAACAGGTGCTGCATACTCCAGTATGGGCCTGACATACACGGTGTACAGTGTCTTGAACGATTCCTTACTAAGGTATCGGAATGCTGTTCTCAGGTTTGCCAGGCGCCCATATGCTGCAGCAGTTATCTGGTTGATGTGTGCTTCCGAAGACATGCTCGGTGTTATACTGACCCCAAGATCTTTCTCCTTGAGTGAGGTTTGCAGTCTTTGGCCACCTAGCCTATACTCTGTCTGTGGTCTTCTGTGCCCTTCCCGTATCTTCATGACTTTGCATTTGGCAGGATTAAATTCAAGAAGCCATTTGCTGGACCAGGTGTCCAGTCTGTCCAGGTCTCTTTGAAGTCCTGCCTGGTCCTCATCTGATTTAATTCTCCTCATTAACTTCACATCATCTGCAAACAGGGACACTTCTGAGTCTAACCCTTCCATCATGTCGTTCACATATACCAAAAATAGCACTGGTCCTAGGACCGACCCCTGTGGGACCCCGCTCGTCACAGGTGCCCACTGTGATACATCATTACGTACCATGACTCGTTGTTGCCTCCCTGTCAGGTATTCTCTGATCCATTGCAGTGCCCTTCCTGTTATATGTGCCTGATGCTCTAGCTTCTGCACTAATCTCTTGTGAGGAACTGTGTCAAAGGCCTTCTTGCAGTCCAAGAAGATGCAATCAACCCACCCCTCTCTCTCGTGTCTTACTTCTGTTATTTTATCATAAAACTCCAGAAGGTTTGTGACACAGGATTTGCCTTCCATGAATCCGTGCTGGTTGGCATTTATACTCTTGTTCCATTCCAGGTGCTCCACCACTCTCCTCCTGATAATCTTCTCCATAACTTTGCATACTATACACGTCAATGACACAGGTCTATAGTTTAGTGCCTCTTTTCTGTCTCCTTTTTTAAAACTGGGAACTACATTTGCCGTCTTCCATACCTCAGGTAGTTGCACAGTTTCCAGGGACGTGTTGAAGATTGTGGTAAGTGGCACGCACAACATATCTGCTCCCTCTCTAAGGACCCACGGGGAGATGTTGTCCGGTCCCATTGCCTTTGAGGTATCGATGTCCCTTAGCAGTTTCTTCACCTCCTCCTCATCTGTATGTATGTCGTCCAACACTTGTTGGTGTATTCCTTGCTGGTGTCCCCATCTGGTCTGTCCCCCCAGAGGCCTTCCTGTCTCTACTGTAAATACTTCTTTAAATCTCGTGTTGAGCTCCTCACATACCTCTTGATCTTTTCTTGTGAGTTCTCCACCTTCTTTCCTCAGCCTTATCACCTGGTCCTTGACTGTTGTCTTCCTCCTAATGTGGCTATACAGCAGTTTCGGGTCAGATTTGACTTTCGATGCTATGTCGTTTTCATACTGTCGCTGGGCCTCCCTCCTTATCTGTGTATACTCGTTTCTGGCTCTTCTACTAATCTCCTTGTTTTCCTGGGTCCTATGCCTCCTGTACCTTTTCCATTCTCTGTTGCACTTAGTTTTTGCCTCCCTACACCTTCGGGTAAACCAAGGACTCGTTTTGGTCTTCCTATTATTTCTGTTTTCCTTGGGAACAAACCTTTCCTCTGCCTCCTTGCACTTTGTTGCCACATATTCCATCATCTCATTTACTGATTTTCCTACCATTTCTCTGTCCCACTGAACCTCCTGCAGGAAGTTTTTCATACCTGTGTAGTCCCCCCATTTATAGTTTGGCCTGTCCCCTTCAGTTCCTGTTACCTTCTCCACTTGTAACTCTACTATATAATCAAAACTCAGAACCATGTGATCGCTAGCTCCAAGGGGCCTCTCGTAAGTGATGTCCTCAATGTCTGAACTGCTCAGTGTGTGTGTGTGTGTGTGTGTGTGTGTGTGTTAGTTACCATTTTGTCCTAGGCACATGTCGATTAGACACTAGGCCTGTTGTATATGAGTACGTGTGTGTGTGTGTGTGTGTGTGTGTGTGTGCGTGTGTGTGTGTGTGTGTGTGTGTGTG